AGCAAGCTGAGCAGTTTTATACGGAGGACACCATCTTGTATATATACTAATGCCCTGACACGAAACCCTGTCTGTATTATTACTCTTGAGGTGTAAGGCACATGTGCATCCGTAGCTCCCAAAGGAGGGCACAATCTGACCAAGCTGTGAAAAATGCTGAGAGGCAAATAAAGTCATTTCATCTTGATGACAACTTGTCATTAGGAACATTGCTGACACCACATTTTTTTGACTATTCAAATTTCACTTGTATATGTGTTGGTATTGTATTTTGCTCCCCATATTTTTTGGAATATAATGTAGGGCTGAGTGTACAGCATTTGCATAAAATGGTAAAAAGTTATAGTAGGTAGGGTTCAGTTTGTTAACATTATGCATTAGGTATCAAGTTCTTTTAATTTATTTAAACATTTTTTAATCTAGGTTAATGTTAATTTATACTGTTGTTCATTGTAAATGATATTTGTTCATAATATACTGTACAGTGCCATTCAAAATTTGGGGTCAGTATGATTTAAAAAAAATAAATTAATACCTTTATTCATCAATGATGCATCACATTAATCAAAAGTGACAGCAAAGACATTTATAATGTTACAAAATATTTCTTTCAAATAAATGGTGTTCTTTCCAGCTTAAATTAATAAAAAAATCCTGAAAAAAAACATACATACATACATTAAAAAAAAAAAAAAAAAAAAAAAAAAAAAAAAAAAAAAAAAAAAAAAAAAAAAAAAAAAAAAAAAAAAAAAAAAAAAAAAAAAAAAAAAAAAAAAAAAAAAAAAAAAAAAAAAAAAAAAAAAAAAAAAAAAAAAAAAAAAAAAAAAAAAAAAAAAAAAAAAAAAAAAAAAAAAAAAAAAAAAAAAAAAAAAAAAAAAAAAAAAAAAAAAAAACTGTTTTTATCAAGGATTTCTGAAGAACCATGACACTGAAGACTGGAATAATGGCTGCTGAAAATTAAGCTTTGTCATCACAGGAATAAACCATGTTTTAAAGTATATTAAAATATAAAAAAAGTTAAATTATAAAATTTCACAATAATTACATTTTATGCTTTTTGAGCATAAGAGCCTTATTTTAAAACATTACAAAATCTTACTGGCCCCAAATTTTTGAGCAATATAATTACGGACTCTCCACAACCTGAGACGATAATAATTTAGCTAGATGCTTTTGCAATGGGAAAACATTACAAAAAAGCTCCTCACCTACCCAGCACCGATTTCCAATACGAACAGCAAAGAAACACTGCAGTTGATTTAACACACTCACTTCACTCTCAAGTTGCAAAAATCCCACCAGGGAGACATAACAGAGAAAAAAAAATCACATAAAAAATCCACCATAAAAACTCTTGTGGGCCCTTTGCAATTAATGTACAGTAGAAAGAGAATTTAATTGCAAACCTCACAGGAGTCAAGATGGTCTAAGACATGGAAATGCATCTTTAATTTTGTGGTCACTAAACACGGCCTCGCTCAAAATTCATTATTTCAAGTTATTTTAAATTCATTTTGATTCAGAAAGAAAGTAAAAAGTGGTACTGAATGAGCAGACGAGTTGTTTCTTTCTACTTCAAAACTTCATGTTTAATTCAATGTGTTAGTTACTGTTTCCAAACTGGTATATCATCTCTGAGGCCAGTTGTCCTCTTATTTGTCATGTGACATTGAAGAGATTGAGTGTGACCCTATCGCTCCCCTTCCATCATGAAGTCACAGACACCCTCTCATCTTTCTCACCCCTTCACCCTCAGGATGTTTGCCGCTGTTTTGCTGTGACATGTTTGCTGATACTAGCTGGTAAACGAACAGAGTAATTATGAGAAGGCTAAATTATAGTGACAAGGTCAGTTTATCTATATAGAATTTTAGAGATCATGAAAAATATTTCCCCCAATTTTTTCCTCTAAGAACTTTAAGAAAATGCTGTCTTATGTTTGATTTCTATGAAGGTTATATTAACAGAATAATCAGTGAACAATAGTCAAGACAAGTTGTTCATAGACAACAGATGACATAAAAGTGATCATTTAGGCATTTCATTTCGAAAATGCAACTAATTGCCGCTGAATTTTTTTTCTTCTACCCTAGTCATGCTTCTAATCATGCCTTATATTATTATTTAACCGCACTATTACGGATGGCATGCTTATAATATCCTTTAAGTTTCTCTTACTCTTATTCACTATGAAGCCTGTTGTTGCAGTGTTTGTTGTTTGTTTGTTTTCCAAGTTCTTTATCTGTCTTTCCTACTTTGAATGACCATTTGATACCTATATAAGGCTGACATGGTCAAAAGTAAAAAAAAAAAAGAAAAGCAAAACAATACTGCTTTGAAACTAAAAGCTCTGCTGTGCATGCATGGGAAAATAAAAAAAATAACAAAAAGGAGAAAAAGGAGAAAGCAGATTCTTTCAACTACTGTCAAATGTACGTAGGAACCAGCATTCACAATAAAGACGAAAGAATAATACATTTTTTGAAATATTAAATTAATGTGTTTTATTATAAAATTTTACAAAATTGTTATAATAATATTTTATAATATTATAATTAGCAAATAATAAAAAACTAAAAAAAAAACTGTAAAAATGTAAAAATTCAACAGATTATGGCATTTTTTTGATTTAGTTTTCATTTCAATTGTTGGATATAACTGAGAAGGTCAAGACCTCTAATGTAGGATATACTTTTACAACTTTGTAAACCATTTAATGAGTGAAAAAATAGCTATTTTTCATCCTAGCCCACTTTTATGTTAGCTAATAGTTCTCAATAAAATTTCTGTGCCTCTAAAGCTTTTTTCCATAATCAGTATAGTAAACAAATGTGAAAATACTGACAGCTTCATCTGAAAAGGTCTTTTTTTTTCTCATACAGGAACTGAACTGATCTGTTCACAAACACATCAATCAATGTCTGGCAGTGCACAAAAACAGAAACACAAGAGACGAATAAATGATTTTTTATTAATTTGAAGCCAGGTGTTGTTGCAGTGTTTGTTGTTTGTTTGTTTTCCAAGTTCTTTATCTGTCTTTCCTACTTTGAATGACCATTTGATACCTATATAAGGCTGACATGGTCAAAAGTAAAAAAAAAAAAGAAAAGCAAAACAATACAGCTTTGAAACTAAAAGCTCTGCTGTGCACGCCTGGGAAAATAAAAAAAATAACAAAAAGGAGAAAAAGGAGAAAGCAGATTCTTTCAACTACTGTCAAATGTACGTAGGAACCAGCATTCACAATAAAGACGACGACCTACGAGGAAGGACTGGAAAACTGCTTTCCATCAGAATTTGAATTTATGACTGGTCCCCTTGTTTTATGGAAAAACATTTTCATCAGTTATTCCAAAAGCAGTTGCACTGAATGCAATATGGTGTTAATGTTACTATACCTTTCAATGAAATAAATATTAATAAAAGAAAAGATGTCTTCAGACATGTGCTTGCTTGTATAATATGGTCATCTCTATACATATGATTAGATTTAAAGTGCAACTTTCTATGCAGAGAGTGCAAAACAGAGCCTAAAAAAAGCAAAATAGAAGCTCCTAAAAACGTAGCAGTTTTTCTTCATTTTCAACAAATGGTCAGTAACAGGAGGTGCTTAACCTTTATAAAATGTTGAAACTACATTTTTTATGATATGATATATTAATTATATATATACGTTTTCATATATGTAATTTTCTATATATATTATTATAAAATTTTACAAAATTGTTATAATAATATTTTATAATATTATAATTAGCAAATAATAAAAAACTAAAAAAAAAACTGTAAAAATGTAAAAATTCAACAGATTATGGCATTTTTTTGATTTAGTTTTCATTTCAATTGTTGGATATAACTGAGAAGGTCAAGACCTCTAATGTAGGATATACTTTTACAACTTTGTAAACCATTTAATGAGTGAAAAAATAGCTATTTTTCATCCTAGCCCACTTTTATGTTAGCTAATAGTTCTCAATAAAATTTCTGTGCCTCTAAAGCTTTTTTCCATAATCAGTATAGTAAACAAATGTGAAAATACTGACAGCTTCATCTGAAAAGGTCTTTTTTTTTCTCATACAGGAACTGAACTGATCTGTTCACAAACACATCAATCAATGTCTGGCAGTGCACAAAAACAGAAACACAAGAGACGAATAAATGATTTTTTATTAATTTGAAGCCAGGTATCTCACCGCCAGAGCATCTGAATGTTACATCAATAGAGACACATGAACTTGTAGCTCAGCAAATTAGCTTTTTACCTGAGCATTGGCTTATTGATACAGGGCAAAACATGGTGAGTCAGCAGGAGCTGGAGCAAAATACAATAAAAAAGCACATTACAATAAATACTCGACTGGTGGTGACAAGGTGGTGATTTTGATAAAAGGAACGTCCATTGTCAGTTCAGAGTTGAGTAAATTGTTATAGTGTGAAATAATCTGCCATATTCTGCAGTTCAATACAGTACATTGAGTGTCAGTCAATATCAAATTGGGTTCACTGTGTAAAGGCTTTCCACTCACCAGAATTTAATATCATTCATGTCTTATCCTGGCATGAGGCAGAGGAAGTAAAATGAATCTGGAGAACACAGGTGACAGGGTGACCATCTCATTTGTAGTAGGACTCAAGAGGTGAGCAGATAGAGGGGTTTCTGACATTACAACTTGCTTACATGAACCTTACTTTAATCACATCACAAATTATTTAAAGTGATCCCTGGTCCAACAACAGGACCTTTGCGAAAATGTGCCGTGCATCTGCCTCCAACACCGCTTCTGTAGCCAAAACATTTGGTGGGAGATCACTGCCTGCTTTAGCAGGTGAGGTACTATAGTATCTATCATTACAATATCAACCGAAATGTCGTTTTAAAGCTCCACACCAAATTAGACTGTTCATTAGAGTTAAATTAAGGGATGTAGGCTAATTTAGTAGTTCAGTATTTCAGTAGGGAGGATTTCCGCTGTGACGTGGAGGGGAACTAGAGGTCTCACCTTTTTCACACAGGCGTCCTGTGAAGTGCAGAGGACAGTCACAAAAGAAAGACGAGGCTCCGCTGGGCAGTGAGATGGGCCGACAGGATCCGCCGTTGAGACAGAGCCCCTGTGGGCAGACAGGTGAAGGCTGGGTGGGTGGGATACGCCTGTCAGGAGGGGTTTCCACTGTGATGAACTGAGGAGGGGAATCTGTGGAGTTTGCTGGTGGGTCGTGATGCCATGGAGACCTACAGTAAAACATGCAAGCAAATGAAAAGGCGAGGATTAAAAACTGAACTACCATAGGGGCATATTTACTAATCAGCAGGCCCGGACTGGCCATCGGGAGCACCGGGCGAATTCCCGGTGGCCTGGCGGCTGATTTGGCCCGTTGCCCTTTTTTTTTAGTTATTATTATTATTATTATTATTATTAATATTTAATATGTTTGCTTTCTCAATGTACCAAAGTGATAATTTCAGATTTTGTTATATGATAATAAATCAATAATAAATCATAAATCGGTTAGTATTGACTGGCAGCGCTGCGCTATACGAACCGGCTCATGTCTGTTCCGCGCTTCAAACGATGGTTTCGAACAGAGTCGATGCGCTGGACTCGATGAAGGAGAGGAAGCGGCCAGAAGAAGCAGCGAAATGTAGCAAAAATGCCTGTTCAGGGCTTCAGGTGCAGGTCAGTTTCATCTGTAAATACGCTAAAGAGTTTTGTCTTTATTAACCTGAGTATTAAACTGCTATCAGGGCACCCTATTTTTAACATAATTCAGAATACTGTTCTAAAGGACATCATTATCGATTGGAAAGTTACATTAATAAATTTAGCAGACAGACATTCTCATGGATTTATTGTATAGGAAGGGAGGGAGCTTGAGCAGACAGCAACACAAAAATATCACAGCCTAATAATGCAATAGTGTGTTCAGTATTAGGATTTTTCCAAAAAAGACATTGTACTGATTTGGACTTTTAGGCACTTTAGAAAATTGGATATATTTGTATGAAATATAGGTTTGTTAAATCTCGGGTATTTAAGTCATTTTAAGATAAATAACATTCTGTGATAACAAATTGCAATGAGGTGGTCGTTTTGCAACAAGGTGGACACAGTTCTGTTCATTCAAGTAGACCTGCTGGTCAAGAAGTGACAGGTACAATAAAAAAACGAGCGCACCTTATTTTTAACAACCAAAAAGTTTTGTTGTCTGTTGCGGAAGAACAGACGTTCCTCTCGTTGATAGCAGAGGAGCGGATCCAGCGAGAGCCTGATGGGGCGACGCGGAATGAAAAAGTTTTTTTAGGAGTCGTGGTAGTAGAGGCGGCGCAACTATAACGACATGTGAATAATCCCGCTCATTCTAAAGCGGTACTGAACTGCAGTGGAAACGCAAACCGTGCCGAACCGTGCCGTGCCGTACTGAGCCGTACCGAGCCGAGTCGTACCACGCAGTGGAAAAGCGCCAAACATGTCACTGGAGCAGTACCCTTAAAAAGGATGTCTTTTTGCCTTTAAAAATTTTTTTGTTATGTTTACGAATTACTATAAGGTACTAATATGTACCTATTAGGGGTAAAAAAGGTACAAAGATGTTCTTTTAAGGGTACTGCTCCAGTGACAAGCTGTTGTGCCCTAAAAGGTACCATTTTGGCCTCTTTTTTTCAGTGTGGCCTGGATGATTGTGAGATTTCCCGGCCTGAAATTGCATCCCAGTCCAGCCCTGCTAATCAGTAATCACTTATAATTATTTCAGAGCACAAAAACATGTGTTTAATTCACTAACCACAAGCAATCCAGTTTAACCAGGCAAATTATTCACAATTACGCACTTATTCATGAAACTCAGTGATATCTGAGCCTAATCACATCAATTTACTGTAAAAATGCAAGTGGTAAATGAAATGTCATTTAAAAGAGATGTTTGTGGTTTGTGTGGCATTCATAATTTAATTGAGAATGCCTTTTAAACTCCAAATCAATTCCTGAATTTAATTTGAGGTAGCACAGAGGATACAAAATTAAAATGAATTTGAAATGTAAAGAAATTTACCTAACTGTAATTTTTAACTAGAAAGGTTTTGTCAAGATAAAACTTGTTGACGGACTGCCGGACAGACATTTGTGTTTCTCATTGTGTTTTTCTTGTGTTTGTGTTAACACTCAGAAATGACCCACAAGATCAGGAATTGCATTTACCTGATTTGCATAATTCCTTTAATGAATGGGGCACTAAAACAATGCAGACTGCACATGCAAATAAGCAGTGCTACCAGTGGGTGACATTCATTCTTAGTGAATCCCCCCTAGTGTTTTTATAAGAGGGGCAAAGGATATATACAGCAACCTTGTTCACAATCCTTAATCTTATAATTACACACAACACAGACAAGCTCTATTTGTAAAATTAAAACCATACTCACATGCATTTTAAAAATCTATATTAATTATCCTGTTCAACACAAAATAGATGTGCATCAGTATGGACATAATGACCTAAATCTAAAGAAAGTCGTGCCCATTGAGTAAAAATCAATTCAGAAATCTGAGATGTAATTTGACTATATGCTGTCATTTTATGGGAAAGAGCAGGTCCAACATTCTGCTAAACATCTCGTTTTGTGTCAGACGGATGAAAGAATGGCTATGGGTTCAGAACAACATGAGTGTGAGTAAATCATGACAATGTGAAATTTATGTCAGCATCATCACAATGAGTCCTAAAAAATATATTGGCCAGTTTCTCTGACTCGGCTTAACCCATGATTTATGACTGGACAAGCACACTTTATCATGTTAAACTACCCTAATTATCATAACTAAACAAATAAGGCATGATAGAGTAAGAAGCTTTCAAAACACACAGTTATGCCTACATATCAATCACTTCTCCAATTAGTAACCACTAAATAAGCTTACAGAACAACTATATATCATTCAAATGGCCCTGATTAATGTTTCCTTTCAAGTCATGTGAGACTATACCATGTAAGATGCCACAAATTGTCTTATTCATTTGGAAACCCCATCTCTCCAGTCCACTGCAATTCCAGATAGATGACAGAACAGAAAAATAATAAAGTAAGATAATATAGAGAGAGGGGAAATCTACCTCATTTAAATATTAACTAGTCTGTATGGTTCCCAATTTCAGGTTCTGTTCAAGACTCATTTCCTGTTGCTTTGTAAAACAGGGTTTTTACAGAAATAGCCAAAAAGCCAAAATGAGTGCTTGCATTTTCTTTGGAACAAGAACACATGATGGGTGAAGCCAAACACTTAAACATCTCCAGAATCTCACTCTTGATGAGCAATTTGCACACAGCATGAACGTACAGCACCTGTGCACTCAAGTGACGTGCTAAATTATAGATTTTGTCTTTGAGAGACAGCTGACAAGAGTGGCAAATAGCACATCCAAGAGCCATGAGGCAAGAAGGAAAAATACCACTTATGGCAGCAACATTGTGGAGTGAAAATGTAGCTTTGCTTTTATTTTTTTAAAGAAGTATTTAACTACACTGTAGGCTATTAGGAAAAAAGAAAACCTACATAGCAGCTACTTCAAGGGGCAAAATCTTAAAATATATATTTTCAAATTCAGAACTAAAAGATTATGTAATTTATTATTCAATCATAGCAGTATTTATACGGCTCAATAACAATGAGGCTTTTTGAATGAATGAATGAATCTTAATGGCATTAAACAGAAAAATTCACATTTTATTTATTTTTAAATGGTCCTAAAAAATCTAGAATGTACTGTAACAGTTGAAAACAGTGATGAACTGCAAAGTTTAATATTGCTCTATAAAACCTGAAAACATAAACTTACCTGGATTGGACTTAAGATAATTCAAATATCTGAGGTACCAATTAAGACATTTATAATTTTTTAAAAGAAAATCTAAATTCATTAAAAGAACATTAAAGACAACTTTACATTATAGACAAACATTAATGGCAAGGTTACATTTCATTACAAACACAAACACTTATCTTAAAGGGGTCATATGATGTTGCTAAAAATAACATTATTTTGTGTATTTGGTGTAATGAAATGTGTTTATGTGGTTTAAGGTTCAAAAAACACATTATTTTCCACATACTGTACATTATTGTTTCTCCTCTATGCCCCGTCTTTCTGAAACGTGTCGATTTGTACAAAGCTCAGCGGTCTGAAAAGTGAGGTGTGGTCTGATTGGCCAGCTATCCAGTGCGTTGTGATTCGCCTAATACCTCAAGCATGTGACGGAAATGTTACGCCCCTTACCATACTGTGATGCCTTGTCCCGGCCGGAGGGACGAAACAAAAACATTAAAACCCATTATAAACGAGGAATTTGTTGCATCCAGTGGGGACATAATTACTGATTATAATGACTTATACTGTCTTTTTACGCGTTGCATTGCATCGCGCCGCGTAAACATAAAACCATGTCTGCATTTGTGATCGGAGAAACAACAAACAACAAGCCTACTCTACACTGCTCAAAACT